CGTCCGTCCGTCCGTCCGTCCGTCCGTCCGTCCGTCCGTCCGTCCGTCCGTCCGTCCGTCCGTGCGTGCGTGCGTGCGTGCGTGCGTGCGTGCGTGCGTGCGTGCGTGCGTGCGTGCGCGCGTGCGTGCGTGCGTGTGTGCGTGCGTGGGCGGGGCGGTGGTTCGGTGCGGGCGGGTTGGTTTTCGGGACATGACCAACGTAGCAGAACACACGCACATTCCGCCAATCTCTTGTACAAAGTTGCAGACTCGTGAGCCTAGATCTGCCTGAGTCTTGAATCCTACATCTACCAGCACAGCTGTTCGGGATGCCTTGCTGCTACATATTACAATATACCCTGACTTACCGTGTAATTGTACCGGAAGCCTTAAATTAAATTCGCATGTCGCCTGACATGTTATGTCGGAGACAGGACGGACAGCACGGCCACGCGAAAGACCGGCGATGCTCTCAGCTCGATGCCATGCGACTTTGTGTTACTGAGGTTTCGGAGGCCGCATTCTGTCGTTGTCGCGATGACTATTGATGGTGAGGTTTTGCGAATTGGGGTGTAGGTGCGGGCACGGATTCCGTCTCTGTCTGTTTTAAGTTTCGGTTCAAGCGGTGCTAAACCCACAACAGGCCTAGGTCGGCAAACTGCAGGTCTGTGGAAACCCGAAACAAACAAACCCACCTGCTCGATGCAGACACTCCGAACCCACTACCTTATGTTAAACTGTATACAATGTAGAAACCCTCTGCGACCATACCGTAGCTCACACTCACCACGATTTCATTCCACCACTCCGACAACTACCTCGTGAGCGTCATAGAGAGCACTGCGCAAAGTCTTGTGCGATCGCCAAAGGCCGGAACCGGCACCAGTCACTCTAGCTGAGCCGCAGGCTTCGCGGAGCTACTTCGACTATCCGGCGCCTCGGGCGACAAGGCCAGTTTATCTCTGTGATGCGATGTAACGCACAGTCACTGGTCCTTTGTGCTCCCACAAGCACCACGCTTGCACCCTCAGATCACGTAGACCCCCTTTGAACCTTTTTTTGGTAGCCGGCGCAAGATGAGGCTCAGTGTCTTGACCGAGAGCCTCGTCGAATTCAAGATGCAACTTTCCTGCCAAAACTCAGATGCACCGCTCGTGCGGTCGAGAGCGCACTTCCTTGTGTAACATTGGGTATGGCATTCTGTCGGTCGAGGGTATGGTCATAAGTCATAACTGTAGCAAAATACACATCCGCTTGACGACTCGGCGGAGCATGCGTTTGAAAAGCAACGGGGGTGCCAATGCAGAAGAGCATGGACACTGTGGCCGAGAGCTCCAAAATCAAGTTCACTTGTGGCAGGAAACAGCAAGCCCTTCGCTGTTGAACGTGTTTCGGGTAAAGAAGCAGAGGGAGAGGTTGGAAAGCCGCCCAGCTTCCGGTAGACACATCTCCTAGACTGTCAACACTACCAGGTCTCCCGAGCGTGTCGATTTGAGCTTTCGGACCTAGACAGGACCTGCACCAGACCACTGCGATGCGATATTGCAGGATCTTCCCAGCAGAGAGAGAGAGAGAGAGAGAGAGACGGAGAGGGAGATAGGGGGTCTTTTCTACACCAGAGCCATAGTCCTGGCGAAAGAAAAGAGAGAGGTCAGCATCCACGGATGGCCAACGTGATGGCTTGTGTGCACACATACCGTGTTGGGGGTTTCGAACCTGCGGAGCATTGCCAGGCCAGTGGTCCCGCGCTCTCGAAGACTTTCGACGATTGGCAAAGGCCTTCTAGTGCACTTTCTGGAACACCAGGCCTTTTGTCATCATCTCCTCCTGGCACTTTGTGCTGCTGCTGTATTTTGCTTGGCCCCTCTGCCCTCAGAGCTCAAGTCCAGCCAGCCCATGCTAATGCTCCGACACTGAACTCGAATGCATGTCTGCAACACCTCGAGCGAGCCGCACAATTGGCTTCATCTGTGCAATTGTGGCCTCTTCAGTGGCTGTTGGAGGCAGGGTGTATGAAGTTTAACTGATTTCAGGGTTAGTTTGGAGTTCAGGCTGTGAGACCCATTCTTTGTGGCAATGGCTTTCGCTTGCTATCTGGGCATGTAAAGGTGGAGCAGATGAGAGTAGGGGAGTTTGCAGTTCTGCCGATGGAGCACTTTCACGGTAACAGGTCCAGTGTGGCATGTCTTGAGAATACAGAAGCCCTCAAAGACCACTTCCTCTAGAAGATCTGTCTGTCATCAGGGGTCACCCTGAAAACTCAGACCTCAAAAGCCAGGGTCGAAGATTATCGTTCAGTTGGGGGAGATCCTCAACAGGAAAGCATGCCTGGAATTCCGAACTCAGAATCCCCCACCCAAGGTGCAGCTAAGATTGCTGCGGCCCACCAAGAACTGGATGATCAGTGCGCCCTGCAACTCAGCACGACGGCCTCTCAATTGCAAGTCTGCTTAGCTTTCTACTCGAGAACTGCTGCAGGTGTGTAGCCAAACCTGCCAAGGCACCGCTGCGAGTTGGAATCTTCATGACCACACATTGGAGCAACCTGAAGTGCTTAAAGCTTTTAAAGCCACGTAAAGCTTAAAGGTCAGTTTCATTCTTACGTCGATGAAGGCGCGACGGCCTACGACAGTCCTTACTCTTAAGCTCGCAGAGGTACACTTCACCGTGAGTTCCTGCCTTGCTGGGAAACTGCACGACAGCAGCTTACCCTCGTCCGAAATGCGGACCTCATCCTGTATACGAGTGGGAAAATGGACGGCAAGGACCTCGACCAACTTCATTTCAAAAACCTTATCATCAAGCACTATAAGGCAGCAAAGTATGAAGAGGGCGCCATTCAAGCCACGGTTGATGGCTTTGGGTCCAAGGGGCATCAAGAGAAATGGTTCGATCGATATGATTGGGTTGTGAGGCTCAATCCAGACGTTTTGATCATGGATGACAACTGGCTCCTGGAGACGATGGGGGATTCGTCTGTCGATGCCATCTTTGTCAACTGCCAGGGCTTAATCAACACGGACTTTTTCGCTGTCCGCCCACAGGTCATTCAAGCCAATTTAGCACATTCGTGCACATCCACGAACGCCGAGACGCATTTTCGTTGCGTTGTGTCACCCATCCTCTCATCGGGCCGCTACGTGTGGGCGACTCAGATGATCTCAGAAGCATGTCTGCTAATTACGTATATTTCAGTTAAGGTCCTCGAGCGTGCCGTACACTAAACAGCCCAATCTTGACACGACTCATAGGTCAAGGCGGGTATGCCCCGAGCTTGAACCGCAAAACCTCAGGTCTTCTTGCCTCGAAGGTCCCAAAAGGCCCACCGAAAGATGGTTGCATACTTAAGGAACTAAGCCTCCGTTCGAGAGTCTGACCCGGACAGACAGGTCAAAGGCGCGCAGAACATTGGTGGATGTCGCGTTAGGGGAGCCAAATCGCCGGTTGTACACGAGCATGGCTTTCGAAAGTGCTGCCCAGATTATCTCTCGGCGCAGGCTCGGGTAAGGGTTCCAGGTTCCGACTTTGGAGTTGGGAGGCTCAGAGTGTAAAGGTGTCAGTGTGCAAGATGTCCCGGGTTTTAGGGTTCTTGAGGCACTGCGCATTGTGAAAGCCGCGAGTCTGGAGATTATGCAAAACTTCTCTGTGTGAGTGACATGCAAGTACAACCACGTCCGGCACCACAAAATGGTGTCATAATTAGCCCACAAATCCCGGAGCTGCCAAGGCCAATTGCTCGAGAGTTCCGCCATAGTGCCCTGTGAGAGGGCCGGCTGCCTCGGACACCGAGGAATGGACCTGAGGTTGCTTCGGCTCTTGTTCTACATCCTGTACATACTTGTAGCTTTTTGTGTAAACCGACTCGTGGTTTACAGGATGCATACAGTAGACCTGGCACACGCACCACATGCCTGGTTGTGTGTATGTGTGATGCAGAACCCAACACTGTCAACACTTCGAGCATCGCGAACAACTATCTCCATGAGCCATCCACGCGACCTTTGATCGGTGCATCTTGAGATTCGGCTCGAGGCATGGGCGCAGCACCGAGAGAAGAGTACACAGCACCATTGCGATAAGAACATCAGAGGCTAGTCAGCTGCCCCAAGTTTCGGTATAGCAACGCATCCTTTTGCACAACATTTGCGAAAAGACAGTTAAGTTAGGACAGCTAGGAATATTCCTAATCAGCACGTCACGTCCGTGCATCTGTGTCGGCTGGCCAGACATTTCTGGCGTTGTTGTGCAGAGAGAGCGGGAGAGTTGATCCAAAGAGAGAGAGAGAGAGAGAGAGAGAGAGCGAGAGAGACAGAGAGAACAAAAACAAACACCTGCGCACTACCAGTTGTCCACCTTCCTTTCTTCCTTCCTTCCTTCCTTCCTTCTTTCCTTCCTTCCTTCCTGCCCTCCTGCACTCCTGCCCTCCTGCCCTCCTTCCTATTTAGGTACATGTACATATAATGCATCATATAGTCATAAGTCATAAATCATAAGCTGCCATATCAGATACATATATAAATATATATATATATATGTATGTGTGTCGGTTTTTCATATAAACCGCATATATGTATGCGCACAGAATGTGTATTTGTTGCAAGTGTATACAAAGATATGGACAGAATTGGTTTTTACCAATGTATAAAATAATCTGTGCCCCTACAACACAGCCTCGAACCCAGGTTCTGCTTGCAGACACCTACTTGTACATCTTGTGGCCTTTCGTATTCCGTATTCCGGTCTAAGCTGCGATGGCACAGCCAAGCTCCGGTCTCTGAGTGGTTCAAGGCTTTATGTACTTGGTCTAGTGTCAGTACCACCAGCGATACACGCAGGTATATATATATATATATATATTTATAGCTGCTGTTCTTGCAACGGGAAAAGCCCTGGGCCATATGATCAAGTCGTGCCCGTTGTATTATCACCGGGGACTGGGCTGAGGGTTCGAGGGTTGTTTCTTGATTCGGATTGTCATCTCGATTCGTTGGAAGAAGTTAAAGCGTGGAACTCAGCGTAATATCCAGAGATCCAGGAGAACCGGGACAATTTTAAGTGCCACCTCGTTGGTGCCGCGGCTGCAAGTTTGGAGGCCTTTGGTGCATCATGCCTTCCGCCCGGCAGAAATGTTGCTGGTGTTTGAAAAAGCATAAGCCCGGTATCATTTCTGTATTTGTCAGTACAGTAATTTCTTGTTGATTGGTACATTAACATGTTGACCATCGATCGTTGGTGCACGAGTTTGTGTTGCTGTATGCCTCTTCTTAGGCATGCTTTGGTTTTGGCCACACGTACTTATTGAAGCTAACGACGCCACACTGTCGGGTGCTTTAGTGGCGATTTAACTGTTTCTTCGGTGTTCGGGCCAGGTGGATGGGAGGGGTGGGCTTGACCGCCAGCAAAACCTCAACCGTAGGCCACACTTTGCGAGCCTCTGAACCCGAGCCCAAACTCTGCGAGCCCAAATCCTCCACACTGAGCCCTTAACGCTGTGGCTATCTGCTATCTGTGGCTTATCGGTCTCGTCCTCGGCAAATCCGTGAGACCCTGAAACTTCAACCCCGAGAACACTTGAAGCCGACCCGCTGCAGCACCGAACGCCGAAACAAGGCAAGCCCCACAATTCGGAAAGATCAATAGGCACCGGGAGCCTGGGTGGGATTTGCCCAGCCAGGCTAATTTCGACCATCTGCGTATTCTGCGTGTGTTGCTGTTCTTCGTTCGAAGCGGCTTTGTTGGAATTTGCCGGGTTCCGTTGTGCCTAGATGTGGGCACGGCCTCCTCTGGATACACACCAGCGAGCAAAACCACATCTTTCCGGGCAGCATGCAGCAACACCACAGATTGTGTCAGCAGCAGTGAGCCGCAATGGAAAACACACTGCAATGCTTGAGTCAGAAAAATGTGCTTAAGAACAGTGTCCTGTTGCGAAGCACACAGATTCGTCTTGCAGGGCTGCAGGACAATTGCACACGTCTTGCAGCGCAGCGGGGCAAATCAAAGCGTCACGGTAGTGCCCCAAGACACGTTAGAAGCGCCCTGAAAAGCGGATACAAATTGTTTTCTTTCTTCTGTATGGCCTCGGAACAATATGTATCCAAATCGTGGGTTTTGGATACATGTATCTATTTGCCTGGTTTTGGATACAATCACTTGCCCGTATGTATCGGCAAAACGGTGCGCCATAACGATATGTATCTACACGGCTTGGGGTTATTTCAGTGAGCATCTGCAAATGCAACCTCTGGGACGCATGTCAGGAGACAATTTCAAAGCAAGGTGACAGCAACACATCACTGGTTTTCTCCGGGCCCGATCCTCTGGAAAAGAATTGCTGGTGCAGTCCTCGAAGTGTTTTTCTCTTGTAAATCGACCTCACATACACGCCATATATGGGCAGCGGACTGGCTGCCATCAGTGCAGATTCCGTTCTGTTGTCATACCTTTGTTTAGCTGGTACCAGGGGCTTTCGCCCCACCCAGGCTCGCCCAACCTTATGAGGCCTCCAAACAATCTTGTATGACTGCAACTCTCGTACCTGAGAGTCCCCAAACCTAAGACAGTGCAAGCCCCAACATATCGCACCTGTACCCTACACGAGCCCGACCATCTTGCACTCTGAGAACCCCAAGCCTGACACAGCGCAAGCTCCAAAATCTTGCACCAAGCAAAAAAAGCAGAAATGCTACGCCCGCAACAGAAAGAAGTAGAAGCCCCCTGAATAAGACACTAAACACCCGCAGACGAATAAGCAAACCCAAACATCCTTCGCCGCCTTAGCCAAAACAAACCCTGTAACCCCCCAAGGCTCAGCAACCTTGAGAAAACATGCGCTGTTCAAAGCAGCATCAGACATTCACACACAGCGGAAATGCTTCACAATGAGCGTTGTTTCTCGGCACGTCTCAACACAAACACAGGTGCGGTGCAGTTTCAGTGGCTGCAGATTATTTCAGCACCCTGTTTCGCGTGCTATTCCGCAAATCTTCACCAACTCCATCTTGAAATCGATACCCGCTGGCCGCAGGCAATATGGTCACACCTAGGCCTAGGCATCTACGTATGTCATTCGCCTGTCATTCAACTGACACGTCCTCCCCTGCAATTCTTACTATAAGTTTAAGGTGGTGTTAAGGCATCAGTGGCGTGGCATGCTCGCACCAGCCACCACTACGGATGCCTTTCTTCATGCCAGACTTGTGTTTTGCTTGTGAGTTCTTGATGCCTTTAGTATCAAGCGCAAGAAATGGCAATGCTGGAGCACCGTTGGAGTATAAACGAAGATTGCTGTCACTTGCTGTCAGTATTTGATCCAGGACCATGTTGTTCTTGTCATTTTTGCTCTCCACTGGAGAAGAAGCTGCAGGAGGCACGAGCTTGCACGGTAAGACGCTTCACTGCATCATCCATCTGTGCAATGAAGTGCTGGTTGCCCGAACTCAGATTTTGTTTTCGAATACATGGCCATCAGCCTCCAACTCGTCTACGATAGATCAGACGTGCTTGCGCGTTCAGAACATTGCTCCGAGAATAGAGCTTACGGTGACGACATTGCAAAGAGACCGCAGCAGCGAAATTTGGATTCGTGTGAATACCGACAGGTCGGGAATGTTGAACCTCTTGCCACATTTGCCACCCATCATTCCACTGGCAACGAAAGTGTAACTTGCCCGAACACGCTGACAACGGCACCAGCACCGTATCTTTCAATGCTGAACAGGAGGAAAAGGAAGTTCATAAGCTACTTGTTTGTTTGTCACTACGACTTACCCAGTGCATCCACATTTACCTATATATAGATATATACGCGCATAGGCGTGTGTGTACATGTACATACCTACATGCATGCATACATACATCCAGGCATGCCGGTTTTCTGGTTTGAGCCCTGCCGATACAGGCATATTACACAGAAGGCTAGTGGACCAGGTTGTCAACTAAGTACGCGTCTCTGTGTTTTTGAGTATGCCTTGGCCACTTGCCTATATGCGCTTGTCTGTGTAGTTGGCTTCTTAGGCGTAGCACTTTGACTTTTCTGATTTCTGCACTCGCTCCACTGTCGCCACCGACTTCGTCAGTTCATGTGCTTGTCTGTCGTAGATTCCATCGTAGATCAAGGGCGCTCGCACCCACACCTACACACACACAAGCATGCGCAGGCAGGCAGACTGAGAGAAAGACAGACGCGATGGGCAGGTGTATGTATGTGTATTTTTTTATTGATTCATAAATTGGTTTTTGATTTATACACACACCCACACACGCGCACACGCCTACGCAGAGACACATGCACAGACACACAGACACACATAGAGATTGACAGACAGACACTCACTTGGATTCTTTACGGTTAGACTGCCAGACCTGGGTAAATGAAGGTTTCGATGCCATCTGATCCTGAGTGTGCCTTTGTCTACCGTCTTGACCCAAACCGCCTAAGAGGTGCGTACTCCCTTGAAGACAAGGCAAAACAGTTGCGAAGCAATCAAACAGCACAAAACTGACAGATCTTGATGCCACAAGCTGTCATCATGTAATCTGCATGTCACAGAGGGCCCATCCATTTAGGGCTACAACCTCCGGCGTTGAAGCCGAGAGCTCGAGGCTGGAGGCTTGGGATTCACATGGACTTCGGAAAAGATATCGACACCTGCTGCTGCTGCTGCTGCTGCTGCTGCTGCTGCTGCTGCTGCTTCCGCTCCTGGTTCAGGCTAAGGATGGATATGACACCGCAACATGGTCATGACACGCAATCTGGCGAACGCAGCGTCTTCATTAATGTGCGGGAGGTATCCCCGAAAACGGCAAGATACTACTTTACCTACGCCCACAACCGGTTTCATCAATTATACTGGCTCGATGTTGATTACCTGTCTTCTTTTCCTAGAAGACTCCCCCATGCCCTTGAAATTCATCACTGCAGCAGAAACAAAGCCAAGTTACATAGTTGCCAAAGTTTCAGGATCGTGAACACGCCGGGCAACGACGGAATTCTGGGCACAGGGTCAACAAATACAAAGAACTACGAGATGCCCAACCCGAGGCCATCACTGACTAGTGGAGCAATCAGTGTGTACATAAATGACATAAATGCACATACACATTTGTATGTATTATATACATAAACATACATACATATATGCATGTCTATGCTGAGGTGGTGAAGACGCTTTGAGTATCCGAAGAAGGAGTTGATGTCTCGTCTAACAGCCTCTGCCGTGCAGACGAAACAGTATCGCAGACACACAAAGGCCGACCACACCAACCGCGGCAAAGCAAAGGATTTCAACACAGTCCAGATCTTCCTCACAAACCGAGCTTAGTGCTGCATGACCACTGCTAGTCGTGAAAAGACCACACCATGTATCATAGGTTGTCACAGGTTTCGGTGCCCAAACGAAGTGGTGCTGCTGGGGCCGTGCCCGTCTTTCTCGTGACACCCTCAAACCCAGAGCACCCGAACCGCTACAAGCCAAACCCGACAAACCCCAGGACTTCAACCACCCTGACTCCCGAAGCCCGACCCATCCAGCTGAAACTTCCAAACCGCGACGATCGCGAGTTTAGAGGTCCTTCTTCCGCAGTGTCGGATCTCGGTGTTTAGAGTTTTAGAACGAAGCTCCGGACTTGAAGCCTCTTTTCTCCAAATCTTCAATCATCTTTCTACCCAGGATCCCTTTCAGAAGCCTGTGAGCATTGAGGGTTGCAACCCAGCGGCTCCGTCAGGGAGCCGAGCGTGTCGAAAGCAGGCACCATCCTCGCGATGCAGCTGCGGAGAAGAAGTGTCAATAGCCTTGAGTCTCAGCCTATTGGTCTGCGCAGACTCCAGGGTTTTGGGGAGAAAGTCTGAGAATTTTGGGGGCATCGCACATCACTGCTTGGACCAAGAAATCGAGGGCATGTTGCGCCCACATGCATACGGCTTGCTTGTCTCCCAATCAGTGCCACTTGGTGGCCAGAGGCCCTTTTCGGGTCGGCACTTGTACAGACCGCCTCGATGAGTACGCAGATTTCCCAAGTC